AGAACCTTCACAGACATATGAAGTAGTTTATGTTTGGAGCTGTGTGTTTCACTGTGTACATTGTGTTTCATTGTGTAATTACTTAAAGTTAAAGGTTGATTTTTAGTTTTTGACTTTAATAAAGACATGTTTAATTCTAGTCCTGCCTCTACCCTTTGTGCCTGTTAAGTTTCTTTGCTACAAACACACAAACACACAGAAACCATTGAAATTGAGTGGAAAAATTGTCTGACAGGTATATAAATGATGAAAATCAGTCAGCATGAGCCTGGCAGGAAGCTGGATGATGGACTGATATGAGGTGGAGAGACAGTGGTATGACATTATATTTATGTCAAGACTCACATGCTTGAAGAAAAATGTAATGGGTACAGATATTCATTGGCACTTATGTAATAACATTTTTCGTGCTCGTTTTACCCTCATGGACTCTGTTTTTAACAGTTTGGTCAGAAACATAAACAGCCTGCTGGAGGTCATTTTGAAGGATCTCAGAGTGTAACTTCTGTTCCTCTTTGCACAAAGGTCCAAGTACCAATCCTGCAGCTGGGTAAATGCCCTTCTACCACCCTGTCAGCTCTCCTAGTGTGTCCGGTATGTCCTATAGGCATCGTACAGGCATTTACACTAGGACAGCCTTAAGAGTGAATCCATCGCACTGGCTGAATAACTGGATAGTTGGTAAAGTACGTCAGTGGGTCATCCCCCTCATCTCCAGATTCTGATTCCAGTACAGAGGGCATGTGAGTGGGCTTCGGATGTTGCTCATTTAGAACTTTACAGAAAGCATTTCCTTCCTTTTAAAAGTTTCACTTCACGTTCCTGAACTTGGTGTCCCAGATGATTTTCTTCATGTGAAGCTCTGTGTTAAGGTAACGGAAGCCTGTAATGTTTTCCTTGCTAACATTATAGGTTTGAGAATCTTTTTGAAAGTGAAAATAATCAGATATTATCAAAATTATCAGATATCAGATAGGTTAACCTTAAAAATGTGTCTGTGTGTGTGTGTGTGTGTGTGTGTGTGTGTGTGTGTGTGTGTGTGTGTGTGTGTGTGTATTAGCAGTACTGAGTCCAGTTCTTAATGTAGCCTTCAGTATCTAATGTTGAAATTGCAGTGTGCATGGACATGTTGTGTTAAAATCACAAAAAAAATCTGTGTATGAATTTTTGAATAGTTCAGGCTTGTAAATCATATGATACAAATTTGTGACCTCTATGAGGATTATTTCCCTCTATAGTTAATGTGCATCATCAAGCTATGTTCGGTGTATGTTTCCTTTTGATGAAATATCTCTGGAAACAAAAATTAAAGGTTCACAAAACAAACTAAAACAACAGGTTGCTTTTCTTTTGTTAGTTGAGTTTTAGTGAGTGAAAAGTCATTTTTCTTATTAAGAAGAGAATCTGAGGCAGAGATCTGAGGTCATGTGTTTGTTTGTTTCTGTTTTTAACTGAACATTAATTGAATAAAACTTCCAGTCACAGTGAATCTGTGTGTCAGTGAAAGCATCGCGTGTGCTTCATGGCGCCATCTAGTGGACTGATAGTAGAAGTAGAGCAGCTGATGGCAGCTTCCTCTGCCTCACACTGCTGTCTGACTGCATTCAGCTGACACTGCTGGTTTTCTGGTTCATCTCAGTGTTTGGACAACATACAATGCAGAGGGAGAATTTCAGTTGATGTGCACATGAATGATTAGTGTTTCCTCTGCAGGTGAAGGTAGAAAGTGTGTGTGAGCTGATGTGGATGTGAATTCAGCAGCATGGATCAGTGTGAGGACAGAGAGGAGGGAGTCCCTCCCTCTAAAACCACTCTGTGTGGGGAACATGAGAGCCAGACCAAAGCTCAGAGGTGAGATAACCATCTCTAACTGTCCATGACTTTTTCCATGTCACAGCTCAGCACTCACATCACTCTTCATCATTATTCACAGGAACCAACCTGGACCTGAACCCAGCTGTGTGTCCTTAAAGAGTGACTGGTCAAAGAGTATTGGTGCTGATTTTAAAGGACAATGCTCTGCTGTGGAAAGGTAATCTATATCTGTATATATGTTTATTTTTTTCAGTAAACTTTCAAAAAGGGTTAATGCCAGATCAGCTTTTCACGTATCTATAATCAAATGTAGTATGAAGTCTTGAGTGAGGGGTTTTTTTTTCCAGAAACATGGCATGGGAAGCATGTGAAAGCTTTATGATGTATGAGGTATTTGTCAATAAACCAAACTGAGATGAAGTCTTCAAACAGCTCTAGACTCTGTTGGTGGTTCTCAATGGCATCATCAGGACAACTAAACCTTTACTACCACAATGATATGACTCAGTGCTCATTTCCACACATCACTTCATGGACCTTTGGCTCAAGTCTCTGTGTGGGCAGATTTAATGTGAGCTGTCCTTATCACATTTTTTTAAATACATAAAGTGTGTGTTTTCTTACCTGGTTCATCTTCTAAAAGTGTCAACACAAGAACTAGAGAAGAAATAGACATCAAGCCCCAAAGCAGCCTCACATTTTGACATGATAGCAAGATAAACAGGATACTTATGTGTCATCAAGGCCCAAGCACTGACATTGCAAAGGTCACACTGCATGCGCTCCGTTTATTAGTAGTATTTTTAGTATTTCTTCACGTCACTATGCAGGCTGCAAGTAGAGGTAACATGAGCCGCGAAATAGGGACACAGGCATTAGAGCCTCTTAATGCGCATTTTGTTTAGGTTTCCACCAGGGTGGAATTACCAAAAATAGAGAGAGCATAGCCTAATATATGAAACAGGAAAAGACCGCCGTGTAATCCATTTATTTCAACAAAGTAACGGTAACTGTAACAGAATACAATTACTCATATTTTGTATTTTAAATACGTAGCGGCGGTGCATGTATTCCGTTACTCCCCAACACTGGCCAATACTGATCGATAGTTAGAGTGCTAGGAATATTTAGGGGAGGTTGTCACAAGTTGATCACAACCACCCCAATAGTGGTCTAAATAAATTAATGATGAAAGTTAAAACTTTTCATTGCTCTGGTGGCATAATGACTCCCTAATGAAACAGGAAGTTTTTGTTAAGAAGTTAAGAAAGCTTTAAAAAATCATAACTTAAAACCTCTGTCATGATGAAGCTTTTGTGATAATTGGTCCTAATGGTGGAGATGCTAAATTGGGTTTACAGCACCACCTACAGAATCTCAATGAGGCATCTACGAAACTGTTTCATCTGCATATATGAAATTTGATAGCCTGATGTAATAGCTCAAGAAAAAAAAAACCTTTTTGATCAATACTCTAAACTAGTGCAGTCAAAATTAACGCATTAACGCAGCTGTCATCACGATTAACGCGATAAAAAAATGTAATGCTATTAACGCATCTGGAGTGTAGAATGCCTTAAAATCCCTGTAATTTTTCTGTCAACGCATTTCAGACAGTTTGCCCGCGTAGAGTTACCTTTGTACATGTGCAAATGGGCAGTTGATCTGGTAGTGACGGGCAGCTGAACCAATCAACTCAATATGGAAGATGATAAACACACACTGGCCCTCTCGATGGGAAATTTGAGTATTAAAAAAATAACCAGACGGAAGAGTCGACCAACATAAAGTATTATGCACATAGTGCTGGAAGGAATTATCTTTTCACCGAAGCACTTCCAGCTTAAAATATCCCATTGACGCGAAGCATACCTTAGCTGGGGATGGTGCTTTTTTTGCTCATGGAAAATGAAATGCAATTAATATAGATTAAAAATGAATGAGATTTAATTGTGATTAATCAAAATTAATCCACAGTAACCCTGTGATAAATCTGATTAAAAACTGTGATTGTTTGAGAGCACTAATATATATTATATATATTATATATATATATATAATATATAATATATATTATATATTAGTGTATACTATTACTATATAGGTTTTTTAAAAAGTTGTATTTCACAGGAGAGAAACTGTGCTAAAAGACAGAAGAAAACTGTTTAAATTCTCTTTGAATTGCAGCATACATTCTTTGTGTTTATTCTCCATTTACTTCTTTATATTGCATAAATGTCAGTTACAAGCTTAAATATAAAGTTGAAAAAGTGTAATTGCAGCCAGGCTATTGATCAAGTAATTGTGATTAATCGCAATTAATTACAGAAAATTGTGAGATTAATTAGTTAATTTTAATTAGTTAATCTATTCACAGCTATTCTAAACATAACAGGAAGTCAGTCATTTTCAATCTAAGATGCAAGTTTTGGTTCAATTTTTGCCATTTTCTGGTCTTGTATTTATCAAACTTCTCCTCGAAATTGGAATGAATAAACAAGCCTAATCTAAAGGCTTTGGTGATGCTAAATTGTAAAGCTTTTGAGTTTTCAAAGAATCCGTCCACAACGGATTGTCAAACTTTGATCATTTGCCAGGGGAGATTAAACTGTCATATTTTAAATGTACTTTGTCCAGTCTATCCCAAATTTAACATATAAGATGGTATTCTGTTTCCAGAGACATCTACAAGCCAATATCAGCTAATGCTTAATGTTACTTCCAGGCACCGGGAAATCAATATTAACTGATAAAATCACATATGAAATTTAAAATTTTGGATCCAGACAATACACAGCAAAATAAGATGTAGTTGGTTTTCTTATACACAATCTAATGGGCACAGTCAGTTTCATCGCTTCTTGTAGTTTTAATTTATTCCTGTTTTTTTTTGTGGAGAGCCATAACATGAGCCAAGTCTTCATGATTTCTCCACAGGGTGAACAAGGAGAGCTCAAAGGTTTCCACTGATCAGTCTGGCCAGCAGCATCACCACATAAAACTTAACTCAATATTTATGGTCAGTACATGTGCAAAAACTACTTTTGCTATTTTCTATTTTGTTCACAGTGATCTCTATGCTGCACCTTTTAGACTAGTGTAAGGACAGTGTGTCTAACATTGATCCAATTTTTGGCTCCGGGATTTCAGTATGATCAGGTGAATCATAGAGTATTCTGTTCCAGCTACTGGAGGAAAACATTATCACTTTTGTGAAGAATGAGCTGAAGACGATCCAAAGAGTTCTGGTTCCAGACTACATGGAACCATTTGAGCGTCAGAAAAAGGATGAGAACGTGTTTGGAGTGAATGAACAGCAGAGAAGCAGAGAACCCTTCCTAAAGATCGCACTACACTTCCTGAGGACAATGAAGCAGGAAGAGCTGGCTGACCAACTGCAGAGCAGTAAGAGTATTTCTCTAAAGATCTTATCTGCTGGAAAAATTAGAAATTTTCTAATAGTTCAAGAGAATAATTCCCTAGTGTAGTGTTTTATACATTTACTTAGTAAGTGAAAGGTTGCAGGTTGGATTCTGGAAGCTGAAGACACAAATGAAGCTTGTGCATAAGTTCAGTAATGACACATCTGTCTACTACCCAGGTGTTTGATGGCTAGTATATTCATCACTTCCTCTTTGCTGTACAATAACTTAAGTTATTTCTTATGTGTTTTCAGAAATGTCTGCTCCAATTTGTACACATGATCTTAAAACTTTGCTGAAGAAGAAGTTCCAGTGTGTGTTTGAGGGGATCGCTAAAGCAGGAAACCCAACCCGTCTAAATCAGATCTACACAGAGCTCTACATCACAGAGGGAGGGACCACAGAGGTCAATGATGAACATGAGGTTAGACAGATTGAAACAGCATCCAGGAAACCAGACAGACCAGAAAGAACAATCAAACATGGAGAATTCTTTAATGCCTCAAGTGGAAGAGATCAAACAAACAGAATAGTGCTGACAAAGGGAGTGGCTGGCATTGGGAAAACAATTTTAACTCAGAAAATCATTCTGGACTGGACTGAAGACAAAGCGAACCAGGACATCCAGTTTATATTTCCATTCACTTTCAGAGAGCTGAATGTGTTGAAAGATAAAAAATTCAGCTTGGTGGAACTTGTTCATCACTTTATAACCACAACTAAAGACTCAGGAATCTGCAGATTTGAAGACTTCCAGGTTATGTTCATTCTTGATGGTCTGGATGAGTGTCGACTTCCTCTGGATTTCAACAACAATATGATTCTGACTGATGTTGCAGTGTCCACATCAGTGGATGTCCTGCTCACAAATCTCATCAGAGGGAACCTGCTTCCCTCTGCTCATCTCTGGATAACAACACGACCTGCAGCAGCCAATCAGATCCCTCCTCAGTGTGTTGACATGGTGACGGAGATCAGAGGGTTCACTGACCCACAGAAGGAGGAGTACTTCAGGAAGAGATTCAGAGATGAGAAGCAGGGAAGCAGGATCATCTCTCACATCAAGACATCACGAAGCCTCCACATCATGTGCCACATCCCAGTCTTCTGCTGGATCACTGCTACAGTACTGGAGGAAATGTTGAGAACCACAGAGGTGAGAAAGCTACCCAACACCCTGACTGAGATGTACATCCACTTCCTGGTGGTTCAGGCCAAAGTGAAGAAGGTCAAGTATGATGAAGGAGCTGAGACAGATCCACACTGGAGTCCAGAGAGCAGGAAGATGGTTGAGTCTCTGGGAAAACTGGCTTTTCATCAGCTGCAGAAAGGAAACCTGATCTTCTATGAATCAGACCTGACAGAGTGTGGCATCGATATCAGAGCAGCCTCAGTGTACTCAGGAGTGTTCACACAGATCTTTAGAGAGGAGAGAGGGCTGTACCAGGACAAGGTGTTCTGCTTTGTCCATCTGAGTGTTCAGGAGTTTCTGGCTGCTCTTCATGTCAGTCTGACCTTCATCAACTCTGATGTCAATTTGCTGGAAGAAGCACAAACAATCTCCAGTAGGTCTGATAAAACACATTTCTACCAGAGTGCTGTGGATAAGGCCTTAGAGAGTCCAAATGGACACCTGGACTTGTTCCTCCGATTCCTTTTGGGTCTTTCAATGCCGACCAATCAGACCCTCCTACGAGGCCTGCTGACAACGACCGAAAGAAGTTCACAGACCAATCAGACTCTACTAGCATCCCTGCTTACACGGCTTAGAAGTAGTTCACAGTTCAACCAGAAAACATATATCAAGAAAAAACTCAATGAGAATCTATCTACAGAGAAAAGCATCAACCTGTTCCACTGTCTTAATGAACTGAATGATCATTCTCTAGTGGAGGAAATCAAACAGTCCCTGAGTTCAGGAAGTATCTCCACTGATAAACTGTCTCCTGCTCAGTGGTCAGCTCTGGTTTTCATCTTACTGTCATCCAAAAAAGATATGGATGTGTTTGACCTGAAGAAATACTCTGATTCAGAGGAGGCTCTTCTGCAGCTGCTGCCAGTGGTCAAAGCCTCCAAAAACGCTCTGTAAGTTATCATGAAATCATCAATTATTTTTAAACACATGCCTGTCTTTAACACAACACAAAATTGTATTTGTTATTATCAGGTTTGCTTATAAATTCCCTGAAAAGCCTTCAGTTGATCCAAAATGCAGTAGGGGTACTAACAGGGACTAGAAAGAGAGAGCATGTTTCTCCGATATTGGAGTCTCTTCATTGGCTCTCTGGTGAATCCAGAATCAAATTTAAAATCTTTATAATCACATACAAGGTCTTGTATAATTAAGGCCCATCTCTTAATAGTACCATATCACCCCATTAGAGCTCTTTGCTCTCAGACTGCAGGCTTACTTGTGTAAAAAGTGTTTAAAAGTAAAATGGGAGGCAGAGCCTTTAGATTTCAGGCCCCTCTTCTGTGGAACCAGCTAACAGTTTGGAAGTAGAAATAGTTCACTATCTCTACTTCTAAGATTAGGTTTAAGACTTTCCTTTTTGACAAAGGATATAATTAGGGCTGGATCACGTGACCCTGAGTCCTCCCTTAGTTACACTGCAATAGGTCTAGGCTGGCAGGGGATTCCCATGATGCACTGAGTGTTTCTCCTTCTTTCAACCCTTTTCACGTACCATGTGTTTATACACCACTCTGCATTTAATAATTTGTTATTATCAATCTCTAGCTGGTTCTCCCTGAGGTTTCTTCCTGTTAAAAGGGATTTTTTTCCTTTTAAAAAAAAACATAGAAAAGAGGAAGTTTTTCCTTACCACTCTCGTTAAAATGAGCATTTTAACGAGAAAGCATCAGACAGTCATATGATTGTTGGGGTTTTCTCTGTTTTATCCGTGTTATTGTAGGGTCTTCGCCTTATAATATAAAAGTAGCAATTGCTGTTGTGATTTGCTGTTATATAAATAAAGCTGAATTGAACTGCAATGACTTGGTCTATTTTATTATTGTTGTCTCTTCAGGCTCAGTAGCTGCAATCTGTCACATAGAAGCTGTGAAGCTCTATCCTCTTCTCTAAAATTAGAAGACTGTGGACTGAGATCTCTAGACATGGGTAACAATAAACTGCAGGATTCAGGATTGAAGCTGCTGTTGGCTGGATTGGAAATTCCATACAGTAAACTGGAAACACTCAGGTCAGATCATATTTGTCAGATCTATGTGCCTATCAGCCAAATGTTTGAATTTCCCTTCCATAAATAATAATTTCGATTTTACAATGGCATATTTAGATTCACATATTTTGTTTTTTGCATGTGCATGCAAGAGGGATGATAATGTCCATAGATTATGTATTTTCAAGAATTCAGGTAAGACGGTTTATGTTTGTTTTCTTTTTCATTACTCTCCAATCAGATTGAGCAACTGTAACCTCTCAAAGAGAAGCTGTGAAATTCTGTCCTCAGTTCTCAGCGCTTCATACTCTATTCTGAGAGAGCTGGACCTGAGTGACAATGACCTTAAGGACTCTGGAATGACCATATTGTCTTCTGGACTGGATAATCCACACTGTAAACTGGAAACACTCAGGTCAGCGATTTTAAAATGTACAACTTCTCATGGTTACCCTGTCCTCCAGGTACAGCCCCCTCCTCTCTTTCTCTCTCTTCCTTATTGCTCTAACTTTTCTCTACCCTGCCTGTGTGAGTGTGAATATGAGTGGTATCAACCAATGTTTTTCAGTGGCAGGCATGTTTCCTGGAGTCCTCTGGCAGACACTTTTCTCCTATCTACAGATTAGCTCCGTACTTAAACTGTTTAGAGTACTCTGAATCAACTGGAACCAACTCTAAGCCAGCCGAACCCACTCTTACCAACTCCTGTTGGATTGTTCTCTGGATTCAATTCCCCTGAGTTCAGTCAGTACTTCTTGAGGATAGGAAGAGAGACTGAAGAGCTGTTCTGGTTTGTAGCTTGTCCCTTGCACACTGAGAAGTGTCCTAAATATTCTGGAAACTGCCTTCTCACCAAATCAAACTGACCTCTTTTATCTAAGTACCATTTGCTTTCAGACCTACTAAATGAACTAGTTAATACTGATCAGTTCTCTGGCTCATAGCAACTCACTGCTCGAGTACAGCAGAATCCAGGTCAGTTAAGTAGCAGAGGGGGTTGTTAATCAATTTCAGCTGCTTTGCTATAAATGAGCTTAACAAATTGGAACCTACAAAGTGTGCATGAGAAGCCCGATTGGTATTTGTAGATTGGGCAAGTTCTCCCTATGCAAGTGTAAAATACATGAAAGGGGTCTGTAGAAATGACAGAGAACATTATGCATGTAACATCATTCAGCATGATCATTTTGGTGGTGTGTCAGTGATATCTCACTGAGGGATCCAAGGACCTCTACAAGCAAGACACCATGACTTGCACTGGGTATCAGAATGAACCCACTTGGACCCACTGTCAGACACTACACTAGGTTCTCTTGGTGTATGGTCTAAATTCAATAAACCACCTCTGGGAAATTATGTTTTGGTCCTCCGACGTCACTAGGTTACACCTCAAACTGACCAGGAGCTCAGTGACACCCTTGTCCAGATCTGGGAGGAGATCCCCCTGTACAAATATCTAAAACCTGATATTGTCAGACATGCTCTCAAACGCACACTACAGAGTACCATTTTGAGTTACTGCAATGAAATTTCAACAAAATGGACTAGCATGTTGCTTTTTTTTTAGTAGATTTTTGGGGTTTTCTTGGAATTCAGTTCTCCTTAGATTGATCATTTTCGTGACCATCAAATGATCTGGCTCTTGGTGGCGTTAGATTTTAGATCAAAGCGACTTTGTTTCTCCTAACAGTGCCATATAAAGAATACACTTTGTATTTAGCTGCCATGCTGTTTTCTAACAGTATCTGTCACATGTTGTTTTTTCAGGCTGACAGGATGCCTGATCACAAAATATGGTTGTACCTCTCTGGTATCAGCTGTGAAGGCCAACCACTCCCATCTGAGAGAGCTTGACTTGACTTACAATCATCCAGAAGAGGCAGGAGTAAAACTATTAGAGCAGCTAAGACTGGAAATTCTCAGGTAGGGAGAGGCCTCTTGATTCATTTAATCAGTAATAAAATATACCAAAATGTCAGGTTGAAATGATTACTTATGATTACTTATGCAATATCTAAACTTATTTGACTAGGTTATATATATTTTTTAAAAGTAATAAAAGCAAAAAAAAAAAAACATAACGGTCTGATTGAAGATACTTACATGACAACCACAGGAAGGGACTTTAGACACATTTTCTTTAAATGTGTCAAAATGTTTGACTGTTCCAAAGGAGAAAATGAACCTCAGTTTGATTTAAATGAACTAAATAATGCACTTTAAAAATTTAAAATAAAAACTTAACAATATGTGTATGAGAGCAATGTAATGTCCATGTGTGCATGCTGAAAGAGACTGTGCTGGTCTGAACCCCCTCCTCCTTTCAGGGTGGAGCCTGCTGGAGTCCGATGGTTGAGACCGGGTCTGAGGAAGTGTAAGTGTGTTTTTAATGTGATTCATGAAAACAAAGCGGCACACATTCAACCATGTTCAAACTCTCACATGACATCTCTAATGTCAGGAGTCATCATCAAAGTGTCAATGAACACATGACAGATCAATAACTGCAGCTGGATGTGTTTGTTCTCGCCGTCAGATTCCTGTCAACTCGAAATCGACACAAACACAGTGCACACAAACCTCAAACTGTCTGAAGACAACAGGAAGGTGACACGTGTGGTGGAAGGTCAGCCATATCCTGATCATCCTGACAGATTTGATTATTGGCCTCAGCTACTGTGCAGAGATGGTCTGACTGGTCGTTGTTACTGGGAGGTTGAGTGTAGAGGAGGAGTTAACATATCAGTAAGTTACAGAGCAATCAACAGGAGAGGAGACAGAGAACACTGTGTGTTTGGAGAGAATGATCAGTCCTGGAGTCTGAGCTGTTCAGATGATGGTTGTTATTTTGTCTGGCACAATAATAAAAAAACATCCATCTCCTCCTCCTCCTCGTCCTCCTCTGTCTCTAACAGAGTAGCAGTGTATGTGGACTGTCCTGCTGGCACTCTGTCCTTCTACAGAGTCTCCTCTGACACTCTGATCCACCTCCACACCTTCAACACCACATTCACTGAACCTCTTTATCCTGGATTTACAGTCTTGTTTCCTACTTCCTCAGTGAATTTGTGTACAGTTTAGGATGAGGTAGGGGTATTCAATTCAAATTAAACATCCAGCAAGAGAAAATACAGCAAGAAAAGTCCAGAATATCATAAAATTCCACATTCATTATAATTTAGTGCAATATATTTTAATGTAGCACAACAGTTAGATCAAAGTCTGTGTATAGTTAATAACTGGCTGTCAAGTAAAAGAAATACAGTACAATTCAACAGGATTTAATTTTCACAATGACCTGGAGGGTACTCCACCGATAAAAGATTAATAAACTGCTCTTTCCTTTCCTTGTAAACATCTTCCCCTTCAGTCCTTTAAAGATGGAAGCTACGATTATTCCAGGACCTACATGTTGTTGTTCTGTCTTTTTGTTTACATGTTCCCATTTTGTCAGGGAGCTTTCTTTGTGTTATTAAAACTAAACAAATGAATAAATGAACAAACTACATGATGTTGCTTTACTCATTCTTTCATGGGTGTTTAAATTATCAAATTATTTTATATTAATATTGTGTTATAATTGTACTGATGGCTCATCAACAACACTGATACCAACAGCCTCATATTTATGAGGTTGAAATGGACCATTCACTGCCCTCCACTGGTCATTGTCAGTAACTACAACTCAAATACAATATACTGTCTTTATGACACATTTACTGCAGTGTTTCAACACTAGTGTTCTTCAGTGGGGTAATGTTGCAGTACGTAAACGCAGATATTAAACTGATAGAAATACTGACGTCAGCAGGGAAAAACTGTGTTTATTTTCTTCGTGTGGTCACAGAGACGAACTGCAGGTAAAAATATCACAGTCAGACACCAAAACATAAAGAATAAAAAAAACATGGCAAATTTTTTTGTCAAATGGCAAACATCATGTATCCTGTCACACCACAATTTAAATAGAACATTTCTGGAGGATGTGTTCAGTACAAACAATAACAGTACAGAAATGCAGATTTCTGTAAAACCTCAAACATTTCAAACTGATCAGTTCCTGATTTTCCTCTTTCACAATTTCTCCCTAAGCTCTTCACTGTGTTTTCTTTCTTTGTAAAGTTTCACTTCACTTTCCTGGACTTGCTGTCAGATGATCCTCTCCATGTGAAGCTCCATGTGATGGTAATAGTTGTTCTTCTTGTTAACACCAGCTTTGTTCAGATTAATTCCAGCAGAAACAAAAGAAATCTGCCACTCCATACATCACGCTGACTGACTCACAGCTGGACCCGAGAAGGAGGCAACCTTTAAGCAGCTCGTCTGACATCTTGTGTGAGTTTAAAGAGAATGATTCACATTTCCATCAAAATGTTCGAGGCAGTTTTTGCTCTATTTAGAAATGTCTGGTCTGCTTCTATGACTTAACATCTACTCAATTCCTGTTCTTCACTGTTCTCTTAAAGTATTTATGCCTTTTTTTGAATATTTCTCTTTTTGTGCTTTGACAATTTTTACTTCAACCAGTTACAAAAGTACGACTTACTTATTTATGTGCTCCAATATTCTGAAATCTTGCTGTTATGATGGCATTAGAAGTTCATTTTGGTCCAAAACGAAGCCAAAAAAACTAAAAGTTAAAGCTGTTGCACAATAAAAACATGTCAGAACAATGACGCTTTTACAGGGGGAAAACAAAAGTGGAAGACACTTTAACCCTTCCATACTGCTCGTGATAATTCGACCTGTTTTGGCTGCAGAAAAATGTCTTTGTCCAAACCTGATTCAAAAACAAACAAAATGAAAATATTCTAAAATTTTAAGCTGTCACCACAATGGTGTGTTTAGGGGGTCTTTAAACTCTACATGCCATGTCTGTGTGCATTTTATTCTTTTATGAGACAATGTTAACAGACCTCCAGAGGTCCCTTAACACTTTCACTCATATTGTTGGTGTTTGCACCACTGCTGATCTTTGAAAGATCATGGGGAAATCTCCAAACAGTGGAATAGTAAAACAGAGTAGGAGTGATCACATGCAGCGCACATGAGGAGCAGAGTTCATGCAAAAGTCACATGGTGCCTTGAGAGTGTCCTGACACAGACACGAGATCTGAAACAGGATGACATGGTGGTGCTCTGTGGTAAAGCACTCAGTGTTTGTGGACTGATTAGAAAAGCTGCCTCACAGCAACGAGGTCTGTGGTTTAAATTCTGTCTGGGACCTTTCTGGGTTTAGGTTGCATGTTTGAATCTCTCCAGCATACATGTCAGGTTAACTGGCTATTCTAAAATATTTTCCTTGAAGTGACGGAGATAAAGTGTTGCAAGAATGTCTGGATAAAGTGGGACTTGTACCTAGTAGTGCTTTGAGTGTTCATTAAGACTAGAAAAGTGCTGTAGGTGCATTACATGCCTGTCTGTTGGTTCTTTTGCTTTGCTCCTCCAAGCACAAATAATGCAAGAAAGCAAACTTATGCTGCAGTTTTATTGAGTTTGCAATAAGCAAGTTTTGTGTTCTAAATTATGTTAATGTTGAATTAATATTGACACTAATGGATGTTAAATATGAGGATTTCTTGTGATAGAGAAGGAAGGACAGTATAATTAAATTACTGTGGGTGTTGTGTAAATGCTAAGAAAATGTCTTCTCTGCTCTCTGAAATGTTACTTAAGAATAACTCATCAACTGATTAATCCCAGATAGGCTAATTATACATCCTAAATAGATCTGTACTTCAAAATTGTTGTGGGCACTTATTACAAGGAAATTCTTGGCAGAAGCCACTGATGACATTAAATATGAGAAGTATTAAGTGTTAAGTTGGTCTCACAAGTCGTATAGACATCTTACAGCTGTACTGAGGATCCAGATCACATGAGTAAAAACTGACTGAACTTCGAATACAGTGCATGTCTGTGCACACTTGACTTTATTTCAAACATACTCCAAAGTAATGACCTGTATCTGTCTACAACTGAATCTGTGCTCTTCTATATGCAACTTCAGTAGAATAATTAGCAATTTAAGCCACCGACACATCATCAGCTTCTCCTAACAGATAAGAAAATACTGTCCCTGTTGGAACTGCAGAAAAACATTCTAACAAAAACACAAGGAAAGGGGATGTTTTCAACACCAACCAACTACCAATTGTCTTACACTTGAAAGTTTAGAAATGAAAATAAAAAATTTATCAAGTGTCAAATGTACAGGTAAAAATGACCATTGAGCTGAGAAGAAAGAAGAGAATAACCTTTCTACTATGTGGGTTTACAAGTTTGGACCTGCTTAGTCTAAAGGTCCTGACGTCCTGTACATGTTTAGATTTTTTTTTAAGTACTTTCTGTATTTAGCTTTAAAACTTTCTCAAAGGAGAAGAATTACTAACAGGAAATTAAATTCTAGTATATTGAATAAACAGACATGTGAACAGTTAACAAAAGACATTACCGAGTACCTGGAATTCAGTGATAGAGATAAGATATCCCCACTGATATTGTGGAGATATCTTCCTCTCATCACCGCTCTAGTATTAAAAAATCCAAAGTTTTGTTTTTTTTTTGTTTTGTTTTTTTGTTTTTTTGCCTGTCCCGTTTGGCTCTTTTGCCATCAGAATTATTGTCTAAAGGCAAAGAAAGATGCCCAACGGATTTACTTTACCAAATTGACCATCCCAGCCTTGCCATAATGGTCCATTTGATTCACCTTTTATTGTTTATTTTATTTTCACTTGCTGAATACGGGACAGACTTGACTGGGGGAAAGAAGGGGAGAAAGAAAGAGGGAAAGAGAAACAGCTGAGAAGAGGGACGGGGGAGAAGGGCAAAAAACAAAAACCAACAGAATGGGCAGAAAAAGAAAAAAAGAAAAAGAAAATGCATATATCGATCACCTGGATCACCTGTTGAGAAAGAAAAAAGAAAACAAGCAGAAGAGAACAAGAGTAATAGAATAAACAACATCACAATGATATATGGGAATATGACAGTAAATACTAAATATTAAACATTATTGTGCAGCACATAAGATCAACAGAACACAGTGTGCTTTGAGGTAGGAGCCAAAAAGGGTGTAGTTTGTGGGTGTGATCACCCGTGTGTACATCTCTGAGCATGGACGCGCTTGTTTTTTTAAAAGGTTCCTTCATGTAATGATCTGGGCACGATACATGGAATCCAAATTACCATCAGGGTGTACACCTCACCCCTGGCGTCGTTGCCCACCTCTCAATTTTAAATACACGTAGACATTGAGGGCTAGCAGGAGGGACTATGCGCTTACCTGCTGCTCTCTGGCAGGTAGCTCCATGCCCTCCTGGGTTTTAAATGCACCTTAGAACACATGCATCAACACTACAATGAGCGGGTGGAGGGAGGTTCGGAGTCTTCTCTCACCCCCGTTCTCTGCGGCCTGCTGGAGCGGGGGGCTAGGAAGAGGAGTTGGCCGTCCGACTGCGGTCTGGAGTGTGGGGCCTCCCTGCTGCTGCAGAGTCGGGGCGGTCTGCCTCTCCCCACCGCAGGGAAAAGGGTAACACCACCTGGGTCTGGGTGCAGTTCCCCCCTCCAGGGGCAAGGGTACCTAGACCCGGTTCGTAGAGTACGCTTGGGGAGTGTGATCGTGTGTACAGCGTCTCTTTATGTCTGTCTCCACGTTGGTTGAGTGTGGAGTAAGTGCATATGAGAGCATGAGGGGGGGAATGGATGTTTGTATCTGTGTGTGCCTGTATGTCTGTGTCTATATGTCAGGTTGGGTATCAGACGCCACCTCTCTGGGGACATCTCAGGCCCTCCAAGGTTTGGAGGCCTATCTCCCCCTACCACCACTTCCCCTGCCGGTGGCAGACTCCCTCAGACATTGGTGCGTTGGTGGTTCTTTGTGTCTGGGGATGGGCGTCCAGGTACACACCATCTCACTCCTTGGCGGCCGCTTATCGGTGCCTGGAGCCTGGGGCTCGCTCCGGCCACTTCGGAGGTGGGGTGCCCCCGGCCTCTCGGCCTGGGGCTCGGTCACTCAGGCACAGCTGGCTGCCGGCGGAGCTCACGGGCGCGTCACTGCAACTCCCCCTGGCTTCTGCTCCGCGGCTGCTGAGTGAGCCCTCATCTGGGACTCTCCTCAGCTCTTTCTGGGACAGTGGCGCGGCTGCCCCTCTGTTGGTTTTCCTTGGTCTCTTGTGTTCTGGGGGCCTCTGGATGTCTGGAGTTTTGATCTCCTCCATACCTGCTTCATGCCCTGGAGGACGGG